CTCTCTCTCTCTCTCTCTCTCTCTCTCTCTCTCTCTCTCTCTCTCTCTCTCTCTCTCTCTCTCTCTCTCTCTCTCTCTCCTATGTTTCTTCTCACCGGCGCCTCCCCTCTCCCTTTTCTCCCACCGCCGGCCACTCCCTCTCCCTCTCTCGCCGGCCTCTCTTTCTCTCTTTCTCTCACTTCCCTCTCTCTCTCTCTTTTGGTGTCCCTGCCGAAGCTAGAAAAAAAAAAAGAGAAAAGAGAGAGAACGACTCCATCAACTAAATTGAGATAAAACCCCTTAAAACACACTCTTTGATTTGAATTTCTAACTTGAGAAATTGTGATTTTGGTTAGATTTGATGAATTTTAGTTAGGGTTTAGATTTGAATAAATTGTGGTTTAACTTGAATTAAATTTCAGGGTTTTCAGTTATTGAACTTATTGAAGTGTTTGAAAACTGGTTTTAGTGATTTCTTGAGAATTTGTTTTGGAGTTGAGCTCAAACCGCAGGTTTTGGCATTTTCCTTATTGCTGTCGAAATGTTGCCGAATTTTTTTTTTAAAAAAAGAAACTCATTTTTCGAGCTAAATTTCAATTGGAAACCAAATTAACTGTTTGAGTTTTAATTTTTAAAGAATTCCAAATTGAATTATGAAAATTGGTTACAAACCTTGGATTTGAGTCAAGACACATTAATAGGAAGCAATTGAACATAATTGAACTAGAATTGTTTTAGAGGTGAGAACTAAGTTCTAAAACATTATTTTGATTACGAAGTTAGCAGCACGATTGGACGTGGAGCTTCAAGAGTAGACGGTTGGGCAGTGTGAAGTTATTAGTTAACTAAATTGCCAAGAGATAGGATATTCTTGTCCATATCCTTGTTAGCATGTTTTAAAGTGTTTTGGCCTAAGTAAATGTTTTTAAAGATAAAACATGTTTGATAAAGAAAAGAAGTTTAAGACAATAGCATAATTATTGCTATTGAACTCATAATGAACTGATTTAAAGTTTTAATAGATATTTTTTTAAGATAAGATATCTTGTGAACTGGTAAGCCCTTTGATGACCTAGAAATCATGATATGGAGATCGTATCCTTGGGGCATGACCCGAAACCCGGATGGGGCACTACGGTGGATTATGGCCTTGCTATTGGTTGTAAGTAATTTATCATAAATTGTTGTTGATGTCTTTATTTGTAACTGGCCACTACTTGTAACTGGAATTTTAGTTTATTTTTCTTTCAGAAAAAAGATGTTTAGTTCCGGTTGATGTGTTGGGACTATGCATTTCTATTTATTTTTAAAGTTTTTTAAAATATATCATATCAGGTCTTCTGCTCATTTTTCTTTTGTTTCAATGCATTTAACTCCTCAGGTGACGCTAGAAGCAGTGCTGAGTAAGTAGCAACACATGTAACTCTAGCTTGTGCAGTTCAAGAGAAGAAGTTGTACACACTTCCATCCTTGTTGTACAATGGATTGTAAACCTTAAATATATCTAGATTGTGGTTGATGTCTTTATCTATTTCTTTATTTATTCATGTATATACAATATGAAATATCATATGGGAGAAACTCTGAATGATGTCAGAGGCCCAGTTTTGAACTTGTTTTTATCAAGAAATTGTGAAAATTCCCATTACTTTCTCGAAATCCAATTTCATCAAAATGTGAGAGCTTGTTTAGAAATTTCTTTAATGTTTTATTTTTTAGATTGATTTTCATATTTTCAAATGCTTAATTTCTCCCTTAATCAGGTTTAACTTCTAAACGAGCATTCACGTCACCGACCCCTGTTTGGGGCGTGATAATATATATACATATATATATATATATATATATATTTGAAAGCATTCACATGAAAGTGATATTTTCCCCATTTTCATATTTTTAAATGCTTAATTTCTCCCTTAATCAGGTTTAACTTCTCCCTTAATCAGGTTTAACTTCTAAACGAGCATTCACGTCACTGACCCCTGTTTGGGGCGTGATAATATATATACATATATATATATATATATTTGATAAGAAAAGCATTCACATGAAAGTGATATTTTCCCCATTAAAAAAATATTTAACGGTCAAAATGTACTTTTTACACTATGTTTTCTTTGTAATTTTTAAAAACCCGGGAGGTGTTAACATAAAAATATTTTGATCAAAAAGATATTTCTGTAATTTGGAAAATATAGGAGACATGAGTGTAATTCTATCTTGACTATAATGAAAAAACGACAAGAATAGAAAGAATGAATTAAAATAAATGACAACTAATTAACAAATGGTGGCAAATTAAAACGATAACTTATGATAGAAATAACAAGCATCCGGAAAAAAAAAACATCATATATGAATAGTTTAATAAATGAAAAACGGTGGAATAATACACTGAAGGAAAAACGAGAAACAAATGGGAAAAAAATAGAAACAAAAAATAATCAAAGACATTACAAGACAAACGACAGTGGATAAATAAACAAAAACTAATAATTAGAGTTGACAAGTAAAAACGAGGATACCAAGATAAAAATTAAACCGTCAACTACCTTTAATAAAAAAGTTAAAATGACAACCAGGGTTAAAACAACTACTTACAGGGAATAGAATACGACACAATAAGGGGATGAGAGAACAACTATCGGTTCATCATGAACTTGAAGCGGGAAAACATTGGACGAAAACAACAACAAAACGACACATCCCCGGAAAAACGACATAACAGTTGGAGAACGGCACCAAAAATTAAAACGATAACAGATTTGCCCGTCTTTTAGATGAATACTAGTTTTCACATATTGTCATGCTGGATTTATTATTCACTAAATGATGAGAAATTTATTTATACAATAATAATTTAAAGATTATTAAATTTATTTTAAAAAATATGCGTAAAGATAATAATTGATAAAAAAATAAATAGGAACATATTTGAAGTAAATTATTTTAATCATTGATAAAAAAATAAAATCAGAACACATGAAAAAATTATTTTCATAAGAGTAAAGTGAGAAAAAAAATATTTTTAAAACACATACAAAAAATTAAAATGTATTAAGACATTCAGAAAAAAGTTTAAAAAAAAAACAGAGATAAGTGGAGAGGCTGTCACATATGGAAAAGAGCTTTGTTTTTTATGTTTGTTCGATGTTAGATATTAGATTAGATTAGATAAGATAAATAAAGATATAAAAAATAAAGAAGTAAAAAAAAAAAAAAAAAAGAGAGATCGTCACGTGACAACGTAAGAAAAGAGCACTATTAAAAGAGTTTTTAACTCTTTTATGTATAGCTAGATTAGATTTGCTCGTATTCTTTTCTTTGTAGAAACTTTTCCAAAAAATACATCCTTTTCTCATTTTGGGAATACATTTCTAATCATTATAAATTCGAGCTATGATTTAAAAAAAAAAATTGTTGGGAATTAATGTCCAAATGAAAAGACTATTTAAATTTTTAGTTTGAAAATAATTGGAGAATTAACCAAGAGAAAAATATGGGGTTGTTCTTTTACAACAAAACTCAGAAAAGGTTTAAACTCAAGTTACAACTTTATTCAAGTTCACGTTCGTTTAGTTCGCTGATTCGAATTTTTAATTCGAGTTAAGATGTGATTTTATGTGAGAGCTTTTTATTGTAGCAAAAAAGTTAGATGTGATTATTTATGAGAACTTTTTACTGTAACAAAACTCAAATTCTAAACTCGAATCAACGAAATAAATAGGGCCTCAAATTATATTCCAAAAGAACAACCCTTTAAATTTCTTAGAGTCTGCCCAAAAAAAAAAAAAAAACTACCAAAACTTGCTTGGTCAATTTAGGGATATTCCATCATATCTACTTATCCACGTAATTAAAAAAGAAAAAGAAAAAGAAAATTTAAATTTCCTATAAAATAAAAAAGAGAAAAAGAAAAAGAACACACGTTCGAGGCATTTTTTTAAAATGAAATATAAACCTACATATAGCTGTACAGAACAACAATACACCCATCCACTACCAACCAACATGTCGCTACAACTGTCAAGTTTTCCGACGCCACCGTCCTCGAGGGTGTGACTTTATCATCGCCCTTCTTTGCCTTTTTGCTTACACCACCCATTCTGCCTCCATTTACACGCGCACTGTCGTTTCGGTTGTTCCGAAGAACTCCGCCACCTTCCAGAAGAATCCACCGTCCTTCGCATCGTCTCCGGCGATCTCTGAAATTCCTGTCAAAGTATTCGACCATCCGATCTTCTGAGTTTCGTAACATCCTTTTGTTCCTCAGTCTTGAGATCGTTCGAATCTGTTCAGCAATTGCGTGGTTCGATCATCGAACAAAGATCTGTTTAGGGTTTTTCCGCATTTTGATGTCGAATTTTGTTTTTTGGGTAACAAATTCGGTGGTTTGGTTGATGAACAGGAAGCAGAGAAACAATTAGGGAAGATGAGTGAAGTATTCGAGGGGTACGAGCGCCAGTACTGCGAGCTCTCGGCCAATCTTTCAAAAAAGTGTACGACGGCTGGTGCTCTTGATGGAGGTGATTATGCTGGATTTGCTCTTAGTTTTGTTTCAATTGCTTATGATTTCAATGGATTCCTGGCATAATTGAGACCGACTTATCAATTAGTCCATTAATGCTTGCTTGAGTTTAGTGTAATATGATTTATTATCTTGTTCTGATTGAAAAATTGGCTTTGGAAAAAAGAATAATTGCATCAAGATATATATGTATGTATGTACGTATGGGTAGAATTTTTAGTCTTCCTTTGAGACCTGGGATTGGATAAGAGGAAACTAAAAGTCATTTTATATATGAAATTAAACATCTTTTATTGTATATGTGCAGAGCAAAAGAAGCAAAAAGTTTCAGAAATAAAGACTGGAATTGATGAAGCTGAATCTTTGGTACTGAATTGAATTGTTGCTTTTATTGTTTTCAATTATCTTCTTCTTCTTCCGTTTGCCCCCCTTTTTATGTTTCCCTTTGGTGTGATTGAAATTGTTGCTTCGCGTAATCTTTCAGATTCGTAAAATGGACTTGGAGGCAAGAAGCTTGCAGCCCAATGTTAAGGTAGTGCTTCTGGCTAAGTTGAGGGAGTATAAATCAGACCTGAACAACCTGAAAAGTGAGGTCAAAAGACTTGTATCTGGAAACTTAAATGCTGCTGCCCGTGATGAATTGCTACAGTCGGGAATGGCTGATACTTTGACGGTATATCTGTTAGTTGTGTTTGGAGATTAACTTGTTGTAACATATACATTTATTACTTCTCGCCTTAGCTTTGGGATTTTGGTTCCTACATCGTTTCTGTAACTTTGATTTCTATCTATTTACTACTTCACTACATTCTTTTTTGTTTACTTCTTACTGTGACAAATGGCAGAAATGGGCGGTTTTAAGTTGATTGTAAATGTTTGAAATGTTTATATCATTTTATATTAATGTTATTCATTTAGATTCAACTCTTTTAAGTTCTAAGTGTCCATCCTTGAATTTGCGGATCAATATTTTGATCGTAATTAATAGTGAGTGATGCATATGTTGCAGGCCTCAGCGGATCAGAGAGCAAGATTATTGATATCGACTGAGAGATTAAACAAGACTAGTGATAGAATTAAGGAAGGCAGGAGAACCATGCTGGAAACGGAAGATCTTGGTGTTTCTATTCTTCATGATTTGCATTCACAGAGACAGTCTCTCTTACATGCTGATAACGCGGTATTTTACTTACCAAAGGCTCATTCTATTTGTTTATCATTCACAGGCTCCCGTTCTTTGGTGTTTAGTATATGCTTGCATGTTGTGTCTACCTATACATTTAAGGGTATATTTGAAGTACAAGTCAACTGTTTCGTTACTTAGAACGTTAGTATGTCATAGTGATGGTCTTATATTGTACATTTTACCTATAATCATAGTATCTATATATATATATATATAATCATATATTGCATTGTAGAAGGCATTACCTATGACCTTTTGATTGTCCATCAAACGTCAGGAACTGCTCTGATCGTTTCTTCTTCGCTTGCAGCTTCATGGGGTGGATTAATCATATATTGCATTGTAGAAGGCATTACCTATGACCTTTTGATTGTCCATCAAATGTTAGGAACTGCTCTGATCGTTTCTTCTTCGCTTGCAGCTTCATGGGGTGGATGACAACATAGGAAAGAGCAAGAGAATTTTGACCTCCATTTCAAGGAGGATGAGCAGGAACAAGTGGATGATTGGCTCGATTATTGCGGTTCTTGTCATCATTATCCTTGTGATTCTATACTTCAAACTGTTTAAATAGAGGACATGGTTGTTTCCTTGGTCTTTGGTGTGCGTCTTTCCAAGAGATGTCTTCCTTTTCTTCCCCACTACTTTCTTTTCCCTTTTTATGAGTTTGCAATTGAGTGCTAACGTGTGCATCAATGACAATATTATTATGTATCGTGCTGGCTTTATTGAATGCATGCTTACTTGATTTGTCTTTGTTACAAATTGAGGTCCCTGCCTAACACCCTTTTTGTGGAACAATATGCTCCAATACAACCGATTTCTATGCATTTTCTTAAGTGCCTGTCATTTTCTGTGAAGGTAAATGTGTATTTTAAACTAGCTCTGAAGAATTGGGTTACTGTGAGGAAGAACTCTTCGACGATAAGTCTGCAAGAGATCAAAACTTTCTCAAATTAGTAGATAAGAACAACACAACTTTTCTTGTATTCACCCCTATTTAGATTTTAGAGTAGGAATTCGACCGATTACGGTATGAATGCGTTAATTTCAATCTTGACCGTTTGACCGCTTACTCATAAATCTACGGCCTTGTGCGCTTTGCTGATTAACTTAAATAGATCATTATCGTTATCCTTGTCTCTTCTTAGTGATTCTAATATCTCCAAATGTCATCATTAGGATAAACTTTGCATGTCTTCAATCAACACGTAGTTATGAACATATAGTTTTATGTAAAAGTTACACAACTAAAATGACTTTCTTTTTGGTTGAACCAGCCCTCAGACAAATGTCGTTTCCATTCTCAGACGACAGGAAAGCTTTCCGTATAAGCCGGCTGCCTTTCGTTCAACTTGAGATTTGGGACGGAAAACATCTAACACGAAACGTTTCTGAGGAAATAGGAATTTATAACCAACAAAACGATACGTCGTTTTATGAATAAAGTCAAAAGCGACACGTCAATTAACTATCAAACGACAGAAAATGTTCAAAGGTGAAGCGACATGTCGTTTTATATAGCCAACTGTATGGGTTAATAAGGTTCCATGCAATAAGCTGCCATGTAAAAAATTAATGTGTAGTGACACTCCATCCAAGTTTAAAGGCAGTATATATAAACCCTAAAGAACAATACAAATCAGTTTTTTTTTTTTTTTTTTTTTTTTTTTTTTTTTTTTTTTTTAAAAAACATTTCATTGAAACTAAACAGAGGAGTTCCCTTCAATAAAAGAAAGCCAAAACTCGTACAAATCAGTTTTCTGGTACATTTTTAACACTGTTACCATTGTCATCCAATTTAGAGTTAAACTCAAAGATCATCAAATCTTTACCAAAATCTAGCACTAGCAGTCTAGCAGCCTTCTCTCATATGAGATGGCCAATCAACCTTGTCCTCTCTTCACACTCTGCCCATCACTTACGTTCCTTAGTTCGATCATGCACTCGCCAATCCTCTCTCAACGTCGGCAAGAAACTCCACGCCGTTCTCATCACCTCCGGCCTCGTCGCCTCTCCGGACGCCTTCCTCCGCAATGCCCTTCTCCATTTTTACGCCGCATGTGGCAGCATTTCTTTTGCTCGCAAACTGTTCGATGAAATTCCCAACTCGCACAAAGACGCTGCGGATTGGACTGCTTTAGTGGGTTGCTTTGCTCGTCATGGAATTCCCAAAAATGGGCTTCGTTTATTTGTCGAAATGATAAGAGAAGGCCTGAGGGCGGATGATGTGGCCTTGGTTTGCTTCTTCAATGCTTGCGCTCGGTTGGGCAATGCTGAGGTTGGTCTGCAAGGGCATGGGGTTTTGGAGAAGATGGGGTTAGGCGCCAGTGTTAAGGTCTGCAATGCGGTTATGGACATGTATGTCAAGTGCGGGATGTTGCGTGAGGCAAGGCGGGTGTTTGAAAGGATGGAGGAACGAAGTGTTGTGTCATGGACCGTGATCTTGGATGGTGCGGTTAACTTGGAAGGTATGAAAAGTGGGAGAGTGGTGTTTGATGGCATGCCGGAGAGGAATGAGGTTGCTTGGACTATAATGGTTGTTGGTTATGTGGCCAACGGGTTTAATCGTGAAGGGTTGTCCCTTCTTTGTGAAATGGTTTTTGGTTGTGGTTTGAAGCTGAATCATGTCACGCTTTGTTCGGTTTTATGTGCAAGTGCACAGTCTGGGGATCTATTGATGGGCAGGTGGGTTCATATATATGCTCTAAAGATGACGGAGAGGAAGATAGATATAATGGTGGATACAGCTCTGGTTGACATGTATGCAAAATGCGGTAGAATAGACACGGCAATGAAAGTTTTCGAGCAAATGCCACTAAGGAATGTAGTGGCGTGGAATGCTATGCTTAGTGGTTTAGCAATGCATGGAAAGGGCAAAGTTGTATTAAATTTATTCCCTCAGATGATTATGGAAGCCAAGCCAGATGACTTGACCTTTACTTCCTTGTTGAGTGCTTGCAGCCACTCGGGTCTAGTTGAAGAAGGTCGCCGTTACTTCCACAATCTTGAATCGTTATACAGAATTACGCCTAAGATAGAACATTATGCCTGTATGGTGGATCTGTTGGGTAGGGCAGGTCATATAGAAGAAGCTGTGGATTTAGTAAAGAAAATGCCAATGCCTCCGAATGAGGTTGTTCTTGGTTCCCTTTTGGGTTCCTGCAGCATTCATGGGGCGCTAAAACTAGGCGAACGAGTTCTGAAAGAGCTGGTTCTGGATCCCCACAACACAGAATATCACTTCTTGCTTTCTAACATGTACACCTTGGAAGGAAAGCACGAAAAGGCTAATTCCATTCGGCATGTTCTCAAGAATAGGGGCATCAGAAAGGCTCCTGGAATGAGTTCAATTCATGTCGGTGGCAAACTCCATCAGTTCAGTGCAGGAGACAAGTCACATCCACAAACCACAGGGATTTATATCATCTTGGATGAAATGATTGGAGGCTGAGATTGGCCGGTTACGTTCCCAACACGAATTCCCAAGTTTTTTTTGGCGGTGACACTAGAGAAAGTAATGCAGAGGAGCTGGAGGAGATAGAGCAGGCACTGTTCTCTCATAGTGAGAAGCTGGCGGTGTGTTTTGGGCTTATAAGCACAAGACCCGGTACCCCTCTATATTTTCAAGAATTTACGCATATGCCTAGACTGTCATGCTGCTATTAAGTTAGTCTCTGACATATACAATCGAGAAATTGTAGTTAGGGATCGCAACCGCTTTCATTGTTTCAAGCAAGGTTCCTGTACTTGTTCAGATTATTGGTGACAATGGCAAAGTTTTGGAGCTGGTGGTGGATATATAGAAAATATGGTACGAGTCCTCTGATTAGCTCATTTTCTAAGGGTCATCACACTCATGACGTTCACAAAGGATGAAACTCTGTATCCCGACGAGATTTTCTATGTCATTATGTCTTCGGCGATTGCAGATAAGGTACTAAAACAATCCCAGAAACTGAATATACAGAAAGAGGAGATGGAGGTCGAGTATTGGTTCCGTTCGGGAATTGGCGTGGGATTTACTGTCGGATTTTTTTGGTGCCATTATTAGTCCATTACTCCATTGCTTCTCCAAGTCTGTCTTTTAAACGATTTCTGTTCGAGTTATGAAAGTTGAAGATTTAGGCATTTACAATGTAAAGGATTTCCTGGTATAATATGTATAATGTCAAAATAGTTATACGTTTATCCTCTGTTTCGATTATACATGTACAAACACATAACTGGAACAAATACACATAATAAATAAACACAGAGAACAAAATAACTCCAGCTTCGGAATTTGGGAATGAGGATGTCATTTAATTGAATCCAAAGATAATGTTTTTATTTACTCAAGCAATGTCATCCTTGGTGAACATTGACTCAAAAAATCTCATCTCCGGCAGCAAAGAAAACTCTATAGTAAAAATTAAAGAGGTTGCTTACAGTTATTGCTTTAGGTCTGAGGGACTTTCTGTCTTAATTATCAATGCTTGTATGGTTTCTACTATAACTTGAGGACTTAGAGTGGCATCTACCTTCAATATCTCTTCGGAATCATCAATCCGAAGCAACTCTAACTGCGATCTCAGAAGCGAAGACGGCATGAAATGCTTGCCTTCTGCAGCTCTCTTCTCTAACCGAGCGGCAAGCACGTCGGCCTCAGCATCCAACAGCACAAACTTCACCACACTCACATAGCTCGCCGGTTCATAGTTTGGATCAGCACATCTAAGAATTTCTCTGTATCTCTTCTGTAGAGCTGAACACCCCACGATCACACTTCTCCTGTTTACTAAACTTTCTCCCAAGGCGTCTCGAAGAGTTTCGAGCCAGGGAATCCGGTCTTCTTCCGAAAGAGGGATCCCATTCTGCATCTTTTCTACAAATTTGAAGAGATGGCAATGATCAGGGAAAAAAAATGATAATGAAGCTTACACAAGTTAAATATTGAATATGAACCTTTGTTTGATTTTGGATGGAAATCATCTGCATCAATGAAGCTAAACTTTGTCTCTTTTGCCAGCATCTCACCTATTGTTCTATCAAAAAACACAATCAAATACATGAGAACCAGCAAAAGATGTGGCATTAAAGTTAATAAGTTCAATTTAAGGCACATATAACAGATTTATCAAATAAAGCATGGTAGAAAGTTAAAATTTGTAACAAAGAAGAAAACCCAGAAGACCAAAATGCCAAAAGAATGAGTCTCACGATTTTCCAGCTCCACTGACCCCCATAATAACGATAGCTATTGCTGTGTGTGGAAGAAAAAAACAACCATTCTATCATTAGAAAATCAAGATCAATCCAAAAGAAAATTAAAGTTTCTTTCGAAAAATATATAAATTCCAAAAAAGAAAGAAATAATAATCAAGATCGTACCTTGGGAAGCCGATGAAGCCATATTGGATGCTCACAGATCAAAAGAATTGTTCAAGGATAATCTGTTTCTCTGTAGGAATTACCAATAAGCAAGAGCAAATAAATATATTAAAAAAAAAACCAACAAAAGGTTGAGCCCCACTTGCTGCTTCAGCTACAACAAAAGGACAAATGATGACCAACTACAGAAAATTGTGGACAGAAGTGAATTTATGTAGAAGACAAAAGGTCAGTTGACAAACAATACCACGTTGACCATGTTGGATGAGATGATTAGCGGACTGAAATTGGCTGGTTAAGATTCCGCTTCATTGTTTCAAGCAATGGTTCTTGTAGTTGTGATCTTGTTCTGATTATTGTTTATTGGTGATTTCACGGCCACTTTATTGCATACGGGTGTTTCAGTTCACATACGTACATTAATTGTTATCAAAAAGAGAGCGGGAAAAAAAATCCCCTACGTAGCTCGAAAACATATTTTATAAAAATGTTTCTCACCTCTCAAACAAAGGGGATGTAGCTCAAATGGTAGAGCGCTCGCTTTGCATGCGAGAGGCACGGGGTTCGATCCCCCGCATCTCCAGTTTTATTACTCTCACTTTTTTTTTTCTTTTCTATTTTCTCTCTCTCTCTCTCCTTTTTTTTAATTTTATTTTTTTTTATTTGTTAGTAAACTTTACTAGTCAGTCACTAGAAAGGATTTAAAAACAAGATATGTAAACAGAACAACGTTACCGCCTTACTCTCACTTTTTTTTTTCTTTTCTATTTTCTCTCTCTCTCTCTCTCCTTTTTTTTAATTTTATTTTTTTTTATTTGTTAGTAAACTTTACTAGTCAGTCACTAGAAAGGATTTAAAAACAAGATATGTAAACAGAACAACGTTACCGCCTCATTAAACACTCAAACCTTACATTCCAAGATGTTCCTCGAAGTCAAATACACCCAAATAAAACACATTATTTATTATAGACTTCACTAGTCTACAGAGTAAGATTTTAGTATCCTCAATTTTCTGATCATCCCGACCTTTGAAACTTGTGCATCTCAGCTTCAACAGCAAGGTTGAATCAAGCAGAAAATGGCACCCTCAAGGCCATCCTCTGAGCAAGCCAAGGCCGGTCTGCATTCGGGTCGATAAAAGAGTGCATGAGGAACTGTTCCGCTTCCTCATCCATGAGTTCTCTACACCACGTCACCCGTTTTGACGGGCAACTCCCAGGTCCAAAACACCTGCAATTTTCATTGAAATGAAAAAGGGCATGTTCCAAAGCAAGGCTTTTTCAATGCGTCTAATACGCAACCAGATGAAAAAAGTTATACAAGTTTTAAAATCAACACAATCTCATATTGAAGAAGAAATCATCAAACATAGAAACACATCGAAAATGGAATTCTTCTCAGTTCTTCTATTTTTGGCAATAACACCTTGTGTTTTTGTTTGAATATGACAGAAACATGCAGATTAAGGAACTGATAGTGTACCTGTATTCATAAAAACAAGCACTTCTTTCATTCTCGGCTTTACCCCAGTTATGCCAACGTAAACTTTACTAGTCAGTCACTAGAAAGGATTTAAAAACAAGATATGTAAACAGAACAACGTTACCGCCTCATTAAACACTCAAACCTTACATTCCAAGATGTTCCTCGAAGTCAAATACACCCAAATAAAACACATTATTTATTATAGACTTCACTAGTCTACAGAGTAAGATTTTAGTATCCTCAATTTTCTGATCATCCCGACCTTTGAAACTTGTGCATCTCAGCTTCAACAGCAAGGTTGAATCAAGCAGAAAATGGCACCCTCAAGGCCATCCTCTGAGCAAGCCAAGGCCGGTCTGCATTCGGGTCGATAAAAGAGTGCATGAGGAACTGTTCCGCTTCCTCATCCATGAGTTCTCTACACCACGTCACCCGTTTTGACGGGCAACTCCCAGGTCCAAAACACCTGCAATTTTCATTGAAATGAAAAAGGGCATGTTCCAAAGCAAGGCTTTTTCAATGCGTCTAATACGCAACCAGATGAAAAAAGTTATACAAGTTTTAAAATCAACACAATCTCATATTGAAGAAGAAATCATCAAACATAGAAACACATCGAAAATGGAATTCTTCTCAGTTCTTCTATTTTTGGCAATAACACCTTGTGTTTTTGTTTGAATATGACAGAAACATGCAGATTAAGGAACTGATAGTGTACCTGTATTCATAAAAACAAGCACTTCTTTCATTCTCGGCTTTACCCCAGTTATGCCAACCCACATGTTTGACGCATCCATCTATGTATGTATATGCAAACACGACTCTCCCAAAAGGTCCCCACGGTCGTCCTAGGTGTGCATATGAATTTCCTCCGTTACCAGTGATAACACATCTGCATCAATACCACGCAACCATCACAAATAAGAATGAAAAGCATATGTGAAACTCTCATAATACAACTAAAAAAAAAAATTAGCTCGATGCATCATGCAAGTGATCTTCCATGAGAAATTATCATTCCAGATTGAAAAAGAATAGACCACCAAAGCACAAATTCTAATAGCCTAAATATTTTAAAAGATTGGCTAGAAAAAAAGGGGTCAATTACACACCTCAAAAACACATAACCAGTTGTCTCTTGAGAGGATTTCCTGCTCTGTGCGGTTATGAAGCCTGCTGCCTTGCAATGGATGTGACAATGCTCCAAAAGGGCGGTGCTATTGCCGAAAATGAAGTCCACACTTCCTTCAATGTAACAATTTTTAAGATACTGCTTTCCGTAATGCAAGTATAGAGTATCCTGTGAAAAATCATATTAAAGATAAATCCTATAGCTGAAAAATATTTGTTCCTGATCTCTTTCGAATCATCCCAAAAAGGAAGACAATTGCAGGCAGTCAAGTTGAACATCAAATCCATTTAGTGGTTCAGCAAGCCCTTCAAACACTTAAAATGAAAGAAACAGCGAAACTACCTGCCATCCCAGGAATCTACAATTGTAGAAGGCACACCGATCGGCTGTTACTCTAATCGCCACGGCTTGACCCGAACCCTAGCAAAAGAGGGAAGAAAAACATCAAAGGGGGAAAAATATGAGCATTTTGAACCGTAAGATCTTACTATTGTTGCGGTGTTCTGAATCGTAAAATATTACTCAAAATTCCATCATATTTGTATATTGTTTGATTCTGATATCATTTTTCTATAAATAAAACCTTCAGTAATTTGCAGTTTCGGTAGATGTACACCACCATGGAAAACAACCATAATAATATGACGACTTTCAAATCCTCAAATTGAAATTCTAAAAAAAGTGGTAAGACAAACGAAACAACCTGACTAGAAAACAATTACAAAAGACACGTTATAAGACACCCAACACCTCCTACATAAGTACACTCATATATAACAATCCAAGAAAGCGAAATTACATTCATAAAATTGATTGACAAATTTATTGCGTGTTTCAGCATACACCAAACATAAACAGCTGAAAACTGATGGATCACCCAAATAAACCCCAAAAGTTGAATCTTTTTCATGTAAACCAATTACCCATAAAAGAATAAACATTTCCAAAATTGAACAAAAAAAAAACGGAGAGATAACCTCAGGAGAAGAGTTCTCAAAAGTGATGTTTTCAGCAATAAAGTCCTCTCCTTCAACAATGGTACTCCCACACCCAAACGTCCCAGTACCAATCACCCGAGGCGCCTACACCATCCAAAAAATAAAATAAAATCATTAATTAATCAGCCAAAAGAACCTCCACGTGTCGAGAACTCAACTGGGTAGAACCAAAAACTTGGTATTACCTGGTGGTGGTCGATCTTAGTGGCGGTGTTGTTCCAGGTGAGGATGGTGTCCTCCGGCCGGAGACCGGCGAGGGTGATGAGGTTCTTGGTCTTGGGAACGTAAACCGGCTGTCGGTAAACGCCCGGCGACACGCGAATCACAGTCCGACACGTGTTGCAGAGGGGAACGGCGTCGATTGCCTCCTGTACCGTCCGGCAGTCTCCGCTGCCGTCCTGTGCCACCGTTATCACACGGGAAGCCATTGAAATGAAGGAAAGACGATGACGAATTTTTGTGTGTGCTTTTTTTTTTTTTTTTTGTGCGTTTTAAAGTGGCGATTGGATCGATGGGTAATGACTAATAAGGCTGAAGAAAACCGATAAAGCTCAAAGTAGAATTTCGAATCTATCTGTTTAGTTTTTGTGCCTTTCATTTTATAGTGTTTGGTTTGGATTGTATTATTATTATTTGTAAGGTTTATTTTTATAATTGTTCTTGGAACTATGTATTTTATTTTAAAATACCTTTTAAAATTTTAAATTAATTTAAAACATCATTTGATATATAGAAAACATTTAAAATAGCCTTTCTGTTCACATCTGTTTATAATGTTAACGGCTTGAATAACGTAGCCTGTCATTCAAGCTATTAACTTCTAATTAAACTTATTAATAAGTTAAATATTAAAAAAATAAGGATTAAAAAGAACAAAAAAATTCTTAAATTTAATATTAAAATTCAATTTTAGATCCCGTTTATTTTACTGATTTAAGTTTAAAATTTAAATTTTACTACAATAAAAAATTTTAAAAAATAATCACATTTAATTTTTTTATTACAGTAAAAAATTATCACATAAAATTACATATTAATACAAATTAAAAACTCAGTGAACTAAACGTGCATTAATATTTTTCTTCTTCCTCTTACTTCCTTAAAAGGCTCGAACCCCATTTCTATGGCAGATGCTTTGATTACGTGTCCAGATCTAAGAGGAGGTACAAGTGATAACAATAAAGTAAATATAAATAATTTTTGTTTGGATATACTTGAGTTCTATATTCGGATTTGGAAGATTGATAACTTGATTAAAGATAGGAAAATAGTAGAAAATAGGTCAATATGAAAAGTTTAAAAAAGTATATAGGTTAATTTTTAGTTATAGAAATTAATAGGTCATAACTTGTCAAGTTATAGTTCATAATCAAATAAGTTATGGATAAACTTGTCAAGTTATGGTTCATAACCAGACAAGTTATGGACAATTATGGACAATAATTTATCAAGTTATGGTTCATAACTAGATAAGTTATAGACGAAAACAGTAATTTGACCTATTTATTAACTTATGTAAACTATTGACTTATTAATTTTAATTCATCTCAAATCTTAGACTATTTCCCTCAATCTCCCTTAAAGATATTATGTTTGGCCCAAAAGGAGGAAAATAAAAAATCAACACCTTGTAATGCAATAACACTATTTTTTATTAGAGGAAATATAGTATTTGATATTTCAACTTATTGATGACAATTTTTGTTTTTATTTTTAGAAAAATTAAAGTTCATTAACATTTTTTTGCTAGTTACTTAAAGTTCATTAACTAATACAACATCAGGCTTTACAAAAGTTATAATACATGACGGAATATAATGAACCAAACTGAACAAATAGAATTGGAAAATCATAATTGGACCATAAAAAAAGGATAAATTTTATTTTTACCCCTTGAAATTTAGTTTATTTGTCACTTTGTTTCCCAAACTTTAAAAATTAGTCTACGCACCCTCTAAACTTTAAAACGTAAGTCACATTGCCCTTTTCGTTTATTTGACTAACGGATTTGATGACGTGATAATTATTAGAAAGATAGTTTAATGAATCATTTGAATAAATACCTCCTAAAATATGTATCATATTTCAAAATGCCCCATGATATATGAAAACACATCAAAATATCCATAATCTTTAGAAAACATAATAAAATAATAGTGTTACTGATGTGTCATATCATTAAAAATTAGTTAGATATTAAATTATAATTGAATCAATAAAGGTGATTATTTATTAAAAAATAATAGTATAAAATAAATATAAAAATGCTTCACTTTGAAAAACTTAAAAATTTAAATAATTTTTTTTGCAACAATTAAAAAACCCAAAAGAAAAGAGGGTAATTTTTTTTAAAAAACCTTCATCCTCTTCCGCTCTTGAAGTGCAGATTAAAACAAACTTTTTTACTTAACAGAGGAAGAAGGTTTTTTGATATTTAAAGAGGAAGAAAGTTCTTTTATCCTATTATTTTTTGATATTTTTTACTTGTCTTTTAAATTTTTTGAATTTTTAGTAGCATGTTATATCAAGTAATTTTTTTAAAAAAAAAAATTGAAAATCCCAAAAGACAATTCAAAAATAAAAATTCCTCTTTAAGGAAAGAATGTGTTTTGATATGCACTTTCAGAATTGAAGAGTAATAAGATTTTTTTTTTATAAAAAAAATCTTCTTTTCTTTTGGGTTTTGATTTTTGAAAAAAAAAATAGTTCGTTTATTTAATTTTTTAAAATTTTTTGAAGTGAAGCTTTTTTTATTATTATTTTTAATATTAATCACTTTTATTGATTTTATTAGAATTTAATGTTGAATTAATTTTTAATGACATGTCACATCAGTAAAACTATTATTTTATTATGTTTTTCATAGATTTGGGACATTTTGATAGATCATGGGACATTTTGAAATATGATACATACTTTAAGGGGTATTTATGTAAATAATTTATTAAACTATCCCTCCAATAATTGTCACATCATTAAATCCGTTAGTCAAATAAACATAAGAGGCAAAGTAAATGTTTCAAAGTTCAAGAGATGTGCAAACCAATTTTCAAAGTTCAAAGGACAAAAAAAAAATTTATCCAAAAAAAAAATGCATGATTGACTAAGATGAGAACTACACAATTTTACACAATTTTTTTATTTAGTGAGATGTAACCAAAAGAATCGCTTTAACTAAAAATATCTTTGATCTCTTCGATCAATGTTAAGCTAATATAATTTTAAAAAAAATACATAAGATCTTATTCATCTCATTGATTTAAGATTTTAATTCTAATTTTTTATAGTAAAAAAAATTTATAAAAAAATCATATATAATTTTTTACTATAATTAAAAATTATCACGTAAAATCACATTTAAATTCCAACTAAAAACTCGAATTTGCATACTCCATTCAAGCTCTCACGTTCGGCAAATATAGAGCACTTCTTTGTTATCGCAGGGCCGTTTTTTTTTTTTTTTTTTTGAAAGCTTGTAGGGCCTTTTTAAAGTCAACACCACAAACGAAAAAATACACAAGATCCTTGAAAAATAAAAAATAAAAATTATACGCAAGATCAAAATCTCCTATAGTTTGATAAAAATCTGTGAGTATCAATCTTTAGATGCTTCCATAGAAGGAAATTTTTCTCCGTTTCCTAATTCCTATATTATTATCCAATATTTTCACTTGCCGACACGTTATCATTTTCAACGGGCTACCACTCCATAATAGGCCAGGCCCAGTGGCCCACACCCACACTTCCACTCTCCTTAATCTCTCCACCTGTCCTCCACAAAACGATGCCGTCTCGATTCTCTCGAACCACCCCAAAATTGTCAAACGATAAGAATTGAGAACAGTCCCAGATCCGACACCCTCGTCATTTCACCAGAAAACTTTGTCCGAAAAAGGAAAAAAGAAAATCATCATCATCATCATGCCGTACTATTCGCACAGCGAGGACGCCGTCGACGCCTTCGACGAGTTCGATCCGACGCCGTACGACGGCGGATTCGACCTTTATCTCACCTACGGCCGCCACCTCCCCCACTCCGACGAGACCTGCTACACTCTCCGCTCCGACGACTTCGACTACGATCGCTCCCAGCTCTCCTCCTCCGCCGAGCCCAACGCCTACTCCGACAGCGTTCTTGACGTCGAGTACAGCAGCTATTCCCGCCCCAAGCCACGTCCCGGTCCCGGTCCCGCACCCGCCTACGGCGGGTCCCAGTACGGATCTGGGTATGGTCGGACGAGTGAGTACGAGCGACCATCGGAGGACGGATCTGGGTACGGCGGTCGGAGGCCCGATTCGGATGAACCTGGTTCGGAATATGGATCTGGGTATGGAAGGACGACTGAATACGAGAGCTCCCAGGGAGAACATGGGTCTGGGTATGGAAAGAAGAATGAGTACGAGAGTTCTCAGGGAGAATATGGATCTGGGTATGGAAGGAAGAATGAGTACGAGAGTTCTCAAGGAGAACATGGATCTGGGTATGGGAGGAGGACTGAGTATGAGAGTTCTCAAGGAGAGTATGGATCTGGGTATGGTCGGAGGCCGAGTTACGGGGAAGAAGGAGGGGGATATGGAGGGAAGACTGAGTATGAGAGGCCGAGTTATGGGGATGAGCCGCCTCCGCCTAGGAGGCCGAGTTATGGAGAAGAGGAAGGAGGGGGGTATGGAGGGAGGAATGAGAGTGAGTATGAGAGGCCGAGCTATGGGGAAGAGCCGCCTCCGCCTAGGAGGCCGAGTTATGGAGAAGAGGAAGGAGGGGGGTATGGAGGGAGGAATGAGAGTGAGTATGAGAGGCCGAGCTATGGGGAAGAGCCGCCGAGGAGGCCGAGTTACGGGAGGCAGGAAAGTGGGGAGTATGAGAGGCCGGCTTATGAGCGGCCGAGTTATGGAAGGTCTGAGGAGGAGGATTATCGGAAGCCTAGTTATGAGAGGCGTCGTAAAGATGATGAGGAGGAGGTGGATCGCCCCAAGTATGGCTATGGCGAGGAGGAAGGCTATGGTCGCAAGAAATATGTGAGTTTTGTAAAATTTTCTAAATTTTATATAACTATCTATGTGCATACTTGTTATGTTTATAATGACATTGCTAAAGCTTCCATGGTTCTTTAATATTTATATTCGTTATTCTCGTGCAGCGCCGTTTTAAAATGCTGTTGATATCCGTTTTTCTCTGTCTATCATTGACGTGGATGTAGAAATTATTAAGAATGTAGTCGAGATACTTCTGCAGACGAGCATTTTAAAGTTGAAATGGATCCCTCATATTTTATCGAAGATTTAAGCAACTAGAAAATGAAAGTAGTTTGCACTGTTCCAATTAAAGTGGCAGAGTTCTTAGGTAGTGCCAATGCTGATCAAATTGATAAACAGAAAGGAGCAATCAATGAGAAATCCTATTGCATGTTTGTTTCACAACTCAAGTTGAGAACTTGAGTTGTTTATGTGAGAAAAAACACTGTAGCAACAAAGTTGAATTTGAATTTTTGTGAGAGAAAATATTATGACAAAAGAACTGAGTTGTGATTTGAGTTGATCTTTACAGCTTAACTTGAGAGAAAATATTTCCTTTCAACTAAAGTTTTGTCACTTTTTCTTTTTGTTTGACTAATGTGGTATTTTCTTTTCTTTTCCTTTAGACCATTTATTAGATGGAGAAATATTGCAAATTTAGTGAAGATACTTCTGCAGATAAGCATTTTGAAAGTCAAAACTTGAGTTTGATTGAGACGATTGCATCCATCTCACGACAGGGTTTTGACCATCATATGATTTGATTGTTAAAATTTTGCCATGTACAGTTTCTAACTTGTGAATTAGAATATCATTGTATCTGAGTAGAAAAACCTTACCGCGTGTGGACTAGTGGTGTGTTACTGTGTTTTCAATCAATTGTGTCATTCAATTATGAATTGTAGAATGTAATTACTCTTGTTTATCATGTTAGTCGCCTTTTTCTATCTTTGACTGGTCGCTGTGCAGGGGGATGATGGCTCTGATGATGACAATGAAGAGAATAAGCACCATCGCCACAAGCACCACCACCACCACCGCAAGAGTTCCGACGATGAGTGAGGTGCAAGCATATCCTGTTGTGAAATGGAGTCATGCCATACTTAGCTAATAAAGGGTTGGGGCATGTATTCCTTTGAGTGCTGTTTGTTCTGTCCTGTTTTCAAGTATCCTACAACTCTTTGCTATGAAACTACCTGTCTAAAGTTAATGCGTGATATGTCATATATGTTCATGCTATAAATAAAATCCCAGACTTTGGTTTGGCGTGTCTTTTTTACTACATGCATTTTTGTTGGTTGAATAGTATCTTATCTTTTGGGCATCTAGCAACTTAACTTTGGCAGCATATTTGTTGTTTCGCTTCACTTGATTGTCGGACAACAACCATGAACTTTTGTGTTCATGCGCTTTATCTTGTCGCCCAACAATTAGGCCTTCCTCTAGCCCACAGGAGAGAAAAACTAAGAGGGAGGAATGAAAGAAGACTGAAGAGAGAGTGCGTGTAAAAATAGATGGATCGAAAGAGAAATGTGAACAAAATTTCTCTTCATAATGATCTCCTTGTTCTGCTATTCGTTTCCTTTGTCTCTACACTAGTTTTAAAGCTATGCTCTCTCTAAGTCATAATAAAAAGCTCTCGTACACTACCGTGTAAGGTGATGGTCTTTAGTTTTGAAGTTCCATAACTAGCAAAATCAAAATTCAAAATAGCTGTGCGTGCGATTTGTAATCACAAAAGTTATTGGATTAGTTTCTCACCAACAGGAGGGAAAATTAGAGATTCTACCTCTACCTAACATACTAAAAGTATCCATTTTAAAAAACTCTACCTCATGATTAATTCTAGTTTAAAATGTAGAAATAAATGGGCTAATGTTAAGAGATAGAAATAAAAAGGAATTTCATTTTAAGAGGTATTTTTAAAAATTGCCCAAACGGCAGTGGTTCATGAATGAGTATTTTAAAGTGATCTTTATATGCTTCCATTAAAATGATGTCAGAAGTTTACACTGTTAACCATCGTCGTTTGCATAATCTCTTTCACTTCCTCTTTCTCTACAGCAGCAGCATAAATATGTCGAAGAATAGCATGGTAATCTCTTTCTGGTTTCAACATTAGAAGTTTCTCCACAACTCTTTCTCCCATATCTACGTTACTGTGAACTCTACAAGCGGCAAGCAGCGCTTCCCAGATAACGTAATTGCTCGGTATTGACATGCTAGTAATTAGTCTATACGCTTCCTCTAGTCGGCCTGCCCTGCCTAACATCTCCACCGTGCATCTATAATGCTCAATTCGTGCCTCGATTCCATAGTCCCTTTGCATGCTCTCAAATACTCTACATCCTTCATCCACCAATCCCTTGTGCTTATATGCAACTAAAAGGGCTAAAAACGTGAACCCGTCGGGCAGAAATCCTGAAGTTGTCATGCATTCATACAAATGAAACACATGATCCGGATCACCATGATTTGCACAGGCTAAAATCATCGAGTTCCAAGTGACCAAGCTCCTGCGATTCATGATGTTGAAGACTTGCCATGCTCGGTTCAAGCATCCGCACTTGGAATACATGTCAATCAACGCATTGCCAAGAAAAATCATCCCTCCGAACCCGTTATCCTCGATATATTGGTGGGTTGCTATCCCAGTTTCCAAATCTCCCAAATTTGCACACACCGAAACTACACTTAGCATCGTGACCTCATCCGGTACCACTTTTGCATCTACCATCTCCCAAAACAATTCAAGTGCTTCCGTTGAACGCTTTGCTTGTGAATAGCCCGAAATCATTGCGGTCCAAGAAACCACATCTCTTATAGGCATATCATCAAACACGCACCGTGCGTACTCCAATTCCCCAGCTCTCACATGCGCAACAACCAAACCCGACCACGAAACAACATCAACAGCCACCATCTCTGTAAATACTCGCCGGACTGCACCAGACATCCCTCTCGCCGCGTACAAATGAATCAGTGTGTTACACACGAACAAATGCGAGCAAAACCCAAACTTCAACACAGCCCCATGAATCTCATCGGCTTTAAAATTCGTTTTCACAGCAGGAAGTTGAGAGTAAACTCATCCGGATCAACGCAATTCATCCTCATCCGGTTGAACAAATGAACCGAGCGAGAAGGCGATGAGCTCTTGGAGTAACCCCGGATGAGGGTATTATAGAAGAAAGTTCTTGGTTGGGGCATTTGGGAGAATAGTTGGTGAGCGTAATGCAAGTCGCCGGAGGGCGACACCGCCGCGAAGCGGAAGATCTTGCCGAGGACGACGTGGTGGCGGTGGAGGTTTGCGACGATTGCGTGAGCGTGGATTTGCTTGAGGTCTCTCATGGAGAGGCAGGACTCGGCCATGGAGGCCAAGGCTGCTACTAGATTGTGCTGTTGGTTTGGCGGGAGACCCATGACCACTGGTGAGTCAGCGCAGAGGTTTGTTCTTCAACGGTTTTTCAAACTTTGCTTTGTGGGCTTTTGCTAAATTTGGGCCCCCAAGAAGGCCCATGAAAAGAGAACCAATTCATTGAAGTCGGCCCATTTAATCAGGGGGAAAACTTCACTACACGGAATGGCGAAAAAACCAAAAATATCACTCTAAGACAGTAAAAAATATTTTTTATGTCACTCTATTTAAAAATAAATAATTATTATTCAATTAATAAAAAAAAATATAAAATCACAATAATACTCAATTATTTAATATGATATAAATATTAGACCTCCGCTTAACCATAATAAACCATGTACTTTTCTCTAGATTTGGCATGAAATATTTTCTGTCAGCTATGTTATTAGGAAAAAGTTACTAAATAAAGCATAATTTGGTAAACTAGAGATAAAAATTGGGGGTGTTCATCGGTTAAAAACAGACAATTTTAGTCGGTTTTAAAACCAAACCGATAATGTCAGCTTTTAAAAATTTAAAACCGAAAACAAGCCGAAGAACAATGCATTCGGTCGATTAACCGACCGATTTTTATCGGTTTTTACCGGTCGGTTTTTCTTACTTAAAAAACTTTTTGTTATTTCTTAAATTTTAACCATTTAAATATTTAATATTTAAATTGTTAAAATAAAAAAATAACTTAAAGACAAAAACATAAAGCCTAAAAGAATGTGCCACTAAGGCTTTATATCTAATCTCAATTAGAAAACTTATTTATATTAAAATTCATCATATTATTAAAGATGGACGTTCAAAAGAAGTTAGACCTCTCTAATTTGTAAATTGTAATGAAATACATAGCCCTTTATACAGAATAGTTGAGAAAAAAATATTCTCATCTCTTTTTAATGTGGAATTCTCAAAAGTCTGATGTGTTTGAATTTTTAAGACTCATTATAATAAATATTTTTGAAACTGTCATGGATTTCTTGTTCGAATCCCATAGAATGTAACGTGTTTTTCTTTATATCTTTTCAAATAATCTTTTATTGTGTTTCCCTTTCCAACACAATAAATGAATAAGTAGTAAATACATAACTGTGTGCATTTAAGAAAGCCGCTTGCTAAGTTTCAAGAATCTGTAGACATAATAAATATATTTAAAACCACGAACTAACAACAAGAATCAATTATCCTAGTGGAAAGGAGTTGGATTGGCTTTCTACAAGGTTAGAGGTTTAAATTTATGGATAATAACTATTTTTTTAAATAATATAAAAGGTAGTCGGTCGGTTTGATTTAATCGATCACCTCGGTTGGTAGAATTGAAACCAAATTGCTCATGAATCATGGGCGGTCGCATAATCAACTGAATTAGTCGATTTGCTGACGTGGAACTGAATTTTTATTTTTTTCGGTCAGTTTGACAGTTCGTTGTCGGTCGGTTGCAGTTTTTCAGTTTTTTTTAACACTCCTAAATTAAAAATTAATAAGGAGATGTATAATGAGTAAAATAGATATATATATATATATATAT